ATGTAACTCTCTTTGTTGCATGTTGAAAAAGTAACTATGAATTACTTTGCGCTGGTGTTGTATATAAGCTTTAGCATGGTAACTGGAATGTAGTTTAATGTGCGCTTCCATGCAGATGTGAGTAGATGGGGTTTAATGAGGGTAATATGCAATGAAATTATATCATGGGGTGGTCAGGATGCACTGGGACAGCAGTATGGTCGTCAAGCGTGCTCAAATTAGCAAGTTGTAGCTGTGACCTCATTATGTGTGGACAACTACAACTGCAGATGCGTACCAAATGTGGCAAAAAAATTCAGTAGCCACTCCAAGTTTCCGGTCGCTTGTAAAACTGTGCAGATGATTTCAAGCCCCATGTCAGTATTTGTTAGTCTGTTTATATCGGCATGTTTAATTAATATGTAACCTCTTTCCTGCCAGTATAGCCACCAAATATAAACATTACGGACTCTTCCCTTTTTTCCCACACGGAAGGATTGCTGCCGGTTTGATGCGCAGACCGAATTAATGACTCAATTTGACGTGGAGACGCACTGGCAGTGTTCCTTGGGGACAAAGACGGGTTGAAGAGGCCATAGAGAGCCGGATTGGGGTTTACTCTCACTCCAAGGGTTGAGTGTCCTACAAAGGGGTTTTAGAGGAGCAGTAATCCACTGAGATGTCAAAGATTGGCTTCCCCCGGGATGAAAATGTAATATGACAGAGCAATGAAAGAGGAAGGAGAGAGTACCAGCTGATTTTCTAGCAGGCAATTGCCAGGGGCTTTATATGGCCTTGAACGTTGTATAATTTGGCTTAATAATCCTGCAACACACATAACAATTTCCAGTCTTATCTGTTTATTCTGATTACTGGCTTCCATCATGTTGAACACTGACTAAGGTGCAGGGAAGCATTTACACTTTCACAGGACAGGTCCACATAAATTATACAGTATAAACACTAGATCACTTAAAACACTTTAATCAACAAGAAATACACAATCACAAAAATCATGCTTTGCCTCTGAGTATCTTCTTAAACTGAGCTAAAGAATGTTAGGTAAAGCATTTCATATCAAGTTATCCTTTATTGCCCCAAAGAGGGCAATTCATTTGGCTGACGAGGATCATGTCACACAGTGACACCACACACATACAAACAAGCAAGGGGTTAATGCACATTAACAACTTAAAAAATGAAACCCAACCAGATCTAGAATTTGGTAATTGATCAACAACATGTAACTACAGCTGCTGGGAGGCAGTTTTTGCCTTTTAAATTGCATTACTTGTTTTTTACCTATTTATGGTTTATTTGATTGGGACAGATACAGTATACATGGATAAACTGACACAGCTATCTGATGCAAGCATTATAGTGTTTATAGCAGAAGCTAATTTGCAACACCCACCCCTAGAAGCACTTGCAATGGCTTATACACATGCCTTTGGTGTGACAGACCCGGGTTTAATTCCCCACTGTGACCCATCTACTAATGTGTCCCTGAGCAAGACGCTTAACCCCTAGTTGCTCCAGAGGTGTGCGACCTCTGACATGTATAGCAATTGTAAGTCAGTTAAATATAAATGAACTGTTTTTGCGCTGCATCTACTGAATCCTCCCAGTGCCACTCCATCAAATGCCACTTCAGCCCTATTTCCTCAGACCTTAAACACACAATGCATAATCTTAATGTAAAGGGATTAACTCCAAATTTCAAAACATGGGACTGGGCATTTGAAAGAAAGTTTTAGACATGTTCTTAATACTGAATCTGTTGATTTACTTTTTTTTTTTTGAGAGCCGGGGTCGTAACAGTTTTTGTTTTAAGTTTCCGAAAACCGATGATCTGGCATTCACACAATGTTCACACCCACCGGTAACTTGCCAGCTGTGGAGCCGGTTTGAACTTTTATCTTTATTTCTCTTTTTTCATTTGTTACACAACTATTTCTGTCACTTTACATCTATACAAATGAGTGCAATACTATTCTGCCTTCAGGGACTATGTGAAAAAGATTTGAACTATGTTTGCATCTCTCCCCTCTCCACCCCGCTTTCAAATGTGGCAGTTTGGGAACAACGATGAACATTTTGAACCACTTTTTTTCTGGCATAACCCAGCTCTGACAGTTAGTTGCTTTGTGAGGCTGTACTTCAGCTAAATGCTAATTAACGGGCTATCATGCTCACAATCAAAGTGCTAACATGTTGTTGTTTAGTAAGTAAAATATTTATAATGTTCACCATCTTAGTTTAGCATGTCAGCATTCAAGCTAACATTTACTTATTAGCACTAAACACAAAGTTCAGCTGATGCTGATGCAAGTGTCATTAGTTTCTGGCAGATATATATGATTATGAACCAAGGTCCTGGACAAAATACAATCTTGACCTTTTAATCGGACTAGTTACACAGTTTAGGGATTACCAAAGTTATTACAATTCACTATGTGGCAAACATAAAATTTATGCACCAAAGTTCACAGCAATCCATTTAGTAATTGTTAAGATGTTTCAATCAATGAAAAACTAAAATGTAAAACTCACGATGAAAAGTCAGGGGATCACCAAAGTGGGTGGGATTCATCCTGTGAGAAACATGACTGTTTGTACCAAGTTTCATGGCAGTACCTTCGAAAGTTGTCCAGACATTTTACTGTTAACCAAAAATGGCAACCTGGTGATGGTGCTAGAGGAAAAGTCACGGGATAACCTTCAGGATACATCACCTGGAAAATGAGAATGTTTGTATAAAATGTTGCACCAGTGTATCTCACAGATGTCAAGTTAGTGACGTAGAGGTTCAAGAAGTGAAATAGATGAAAATATAATTAGAACCTATCCTCAAGAGACCCCGAATAGTAGAAACATTGCAGCCAGGACCGGTGTTTTTTATTTTATTTAGAAGACGGCTTTGATGATAAAAGAAAGCTCAGATTTGGAAATGCAGCAACACGAAGCAGGTCAGACCAGTGGCCCTGAGACAGGGCGAGAAAGCTTGTTAGTCAGAAACATCACTCCAGGCTCACTCACATCTTGTTAGCGCAGCAGTGTGAATGAGGATGATTGACAGACAACACAGCTGGAAGTCCTCCTTGTATTCCTGTTAATGGCCAGTATAATCTAACACAGCCTGCTCGCCTGAAGTACACATATCTATACTATAGTTGCCAAATAAATGCATAGGAGTAAAAGGTATGTGGAGTAGGAGTATTACTCATAGCTCATTACTTGAAGCAGACCACGGCTCAATACCTACTTCTTTCCAGCAGGTGGAAGAAAAGAGTCATCCAGTCACCAAAGTTACTATAATAACAATAAATACGGGAATGCTTGATCTTTTTTTTTCAAGATCATGATATTACTGCAGAGGTAAGTTATTAGGATGAATGTTAAAATTTAACACTGACCCCTTTAACAGCTACTGTGTCGGCTAACTGCTAACTGCTTCATTATTAAAACAAAGCGTTGTATTAGTTTCAACCAACTTATAATTATATTTGTAATTAGAATGATGAGATTTTATATGTTTATTATGTTTTAATTGCTTAATACTTGATACTGCATTGTTTGTTTTGGTTGTGAGACATTTTGAGTCTCTTCCTGGAGGTTATCTTAAATAAACTCTAGTTATTAAACTTTGACTCTTTTTATTTTGAATATTGATTGTAACAACAGTTTCACCCATCTTTACTTACTGAGAGTTCATTTCTGGGCCAGTGCATCCAAACTGCTAAAATTAGTTCATTTATTTAGAGCAACAACAATCCCCCTCCCATCCCTTTGACTTGACATTGTTAATGCTTAAGTTGCTGACCTGGTCAGTTTAATGACGCATAGTGCACTGCTATTTCTAGTTGGATAAATTCTCAGGCTTTCTCCTCCCTAAATATGTTATTTTATGGCTCCCTCTTGGATTGAGGATATTAATTCCGATCAACATTTTTTTTAAAAGTGTGTGTCTTCAGTGCCAGATGTCCAAGATTGGATTGTCCTGAGGGGAGTTTTTGGAGGGTGGGGACTTTCTACCATACCAGACTGTAGTACAGCTGAGTGGCACAACTGTTACTTATGTTATTGATCAATCTATTTAGCCTGAAGGCTGATTTTTAGTTGCTGGGAAAAGGTGAGCCACACCTTGATTCAAGGAAACCATTAACACATATTGTCATGTGACCACACATTTTGGAAGAGCCCTCCATTTTACTGTGATTGAGGAGGACACATGGAAGAACAGGTACCATCTTTTTTCACAGCTTCACTCCAGAGTCATCTAGAGCTTAGATATAAAACCAATATGTCACACAATGTTAGGACTGTAGGGCTACAGCTGAAAATAGTCCCAATGAAGATTGCACAGAAAGGTTTTCCCACATTGGGACTTTGGTGCTGGGAAGATGTTGATGAGTCTGTAAAATTGGCAAGCACCATATTAAAGGTCCATTCACCCCCTCTATATCGGGAAAAGGCAGAAGTCTCTCTGGCTGGTATCTCAAAATCACACCAAACAAAACTGAAACTGTCTGCTTGCATGTTATGAGGAAAGATGTATGAGCTTAATCAAAATGTTAGTGTACATTGTATAAGCAAAATATAGATGCTACAAAAACAACACACAACGAAAACATGACGTCAGGATTAAATACCGGGTGCTAATTAAAATGTGTTAAATGGAGTCTTTATCTGCTGAGATCCTGTTGAGCTCCTTGAAATGGAAAATGATCCAATTTGAAAATACCCTTGTTGCCTCAACAGTTGTCTGTCAGACTGTTTTGAAGCTATGGGGTTACAATACATTTCCAAGCTCAAACAACAGTGACAATGCTCATGAGCAAACAATGTGTGAATGCACCAGAGTGCATGTGTAGGTTACATGTGTCTGACTACCCATGTCTATGAGAACACATATGGGGAGGGGAGAGAGAGCGGGAGAGAGACACACACAGAGAGAGAGAGAGAGAGAGAGAGAGAGAGAGAGAGAGAGAGAGAAGTTTACACTACAGCAGGATCACGGAAGAAGAGAACATTCATGATCTGGGAAGAAAGTTGGGATCTGACGGTCATTTAAGACAAGGTGAGTCGACTCGCTTTGAATTATTTTATTTAGGGTTTTACGTGGAGAAATAACACTGAATGTTAACTAAGCAACTCTCTCCACATTTTGAAATTGCCAGTCACAAACAGTCACAACATGTTTGGTGTTCGTGTTAAGACATTTATAAAAATGAATGTGCTGCTTAGTGGTTAGTTAATGTCTCCTTTCTCTGGTTGCACATTCACAGGATGTTAGCGAGCATGTAGGTTGGTGGTTTAGTCTTGATCAGGCAGCAGTATACTGTTATATCACAAAAGCCATATGACAAAGTACAGATGTTGCATTTCCTCAAGTATGTGGCAGTTATTAGAACACTATTCCACATTTAATTTAGCTTGTGGTTTCGCTTGAATTGTTCTGTATATTAGTTATCTGCAGATTTCAGCCTTACATAAGAGAGTCAGGATGTTTTGTTGGACAAGGATGGTAATACTGGATGGCCAGTTTGTCACTCAGTTTAAACCACTTTTACCTGTGAGGTTTTTCCTGTTGTGTATATGGAGCCCCTGCAGGCAGAGTTTTGGACTCATGTAATTTTTCATGGAGCAATTGTTTTATTTATTTATTGTGTCAAATATTAATTACTGAGTAATTAAAATTACTCAGTACTAGAGCACAAGGAAAGGATACAAATGCACTATACACAAACCACATAACTTCTGCTTGGACGTGACGTTGGCAAATTGCCAAAGGACTTACCATACTGGTCTTAGTGGTTTCACTTTTCATGAATTGTTGAATTATTGATCCCTGACCAGCAGTGGGTTATTGGGTTCTCTGTTCTCTCTTTTGTGTACAGATATGCTTCTGCTATATAACAGCTGCTAAACAGAACCATGATCTCAGTTACTGTAGATAAGATCATTTGTAGTATGAATATAGAAGATAAATGTCAACAATTTATAATTCTCAATTGGTAATTGACAATATGCAATAACACAAGTATTGTGGTTAGTATAGATATGCTGTACATTGCTAAAAGAGCCAACATTACTTGTATTGACATAGACTATGTAGTCATGCACGTAGTGTGAGTACAGTATGTACACGTTTACACTTGTGCAGTAGCCGGGTCCTATGAATTCAGAATATCCAAGTACAGTATGTATACCAGCCTTTCACATCACATGGATCCAATGTAAGTATCATATGACAGGCTCCTTTATTCAGCAGTTTCTTGTTTCATGCCAGTCCTCTGAGTAGTTGTCCCAAAAAAACACCATCATTTTGAAATGTTTTCTTTTAGAATATGCATTTTCTGGCAAAATTAGAGCAGATTATATTGCCACTTAACTGTCTGGGAAGCAAACAAATTAATTAAGCAATGAACTGCAAAATTATCTCAGGTTCTCATCATGGTACTAAGGTGGTTACCTTAGTCTTGTGATACATCTGTAACAAGTTAAAATGTAAGTGGAGACGATCATTTGCTGTTGTTCTGAGTTTTATATTAAATCCTCTCTGATTTTTTAAGGCCTGTGGAACCTGGTTCTTGTAGCACCAAATGAGAGCAGCAGACTGACGAGTACCGCAGCACGATCTAAACTCTGTCAGTGCTGAACAAAGTCACCATAGAAACACCAAGTGTTTACCCCTGAGGGAAATCTTTTGACTTATTAAGACCTTAAACCTTGGATTCTGTGAATGGCCAGGTACAGCTGAAACAATGGCTGCTTTAAATTAATTTACTCACAGCTTGAGGAAACACAAGGTAAAATCCTCTCCTTAAACTATTGTGCGCAGTGAGTAAAGTATTGTGGGCCTTGTCACTGGCTGTATAAAAATGTATTATTATTAATCTATTAGTGCCCTTTTGCATTGCATCCATATGCCATGACAGAGAACATCTCTGTGAAATAAAATTCACAGAACTTGGTTGTGGTATTTTCTTAGAAAATCCTACAATTTACGTTATGTTTAGCTATTTAAAATATTCTAAAATTAATTTTAATTAAATGTCCATTAGCGCAGACCCGACCTTTGACCTTGGACCTGACCAAGAGCATATATATATATATATGTACTTATATTGCATCTTGACTACAATGAGAACTGTGCTCCACTGTCTTGTCTTTAACTGATATTCAATTCTAACAGCTTTTCAAGAGAATATTACTGTAAATAAGATTAACCGAAAAACATAGTTGGCAGTACCATACTTTAATTTAGCCTTGAGTTGTGTCTGCAGGTATTTCATTCAGGTTGCAATACAGCCCCAACAAGGACTGTGTTTGAAATCGCATGCTAACGTACTGCCTACTACATCAGTATGTACTGCATGCTGCCTTCTTAATGAATGGTTAAGTATGCCATTACCAGCAGACTTTCTCAGCGTTTGTCTCTGTCTATGTGCGTTATCTTGTAAAGTTTACCAAAAGCCGCGCTAAACAGAATGAATACGGTACAGTAGATTGAAATGGAGCTAAAGTCATCTGCTGCAAATATTCAATATCTATGCAGTTGATTTCACGCCTCAAACATACTCAGAAGTTAATTTAGTTATGAAACAGCAGAAAAAAATTGTAAAAACAAAACAAACTACAGGGTGGTGCAAGAACATCTGCCTTGCAGTCCGCCACTGGATAGTCTAAAGAGAAGCAATGCATTATGGGGCAGCTGAGTGATGCGCAGTAAGCTCACGCCGCATACTCAGACATTCTTGCTAATCTAGTATACTTCAGGCATTTCTTGCATACACTAAATCCACATACTATGCAGATGGAACACACTACATACTCAATTTGAAATCAAACCTAGTATGAAAAGTACGTAAGTAGGTGATTATGCACGTTCCTCCTTGTTAAGCTCATCGCTTCAAGCGCACAGTGATAAAAAAGATAAGAGATAAAAACATAAAGCAGTAGCAGAAAGTTTGTTTTTCAAATCTTCTAAATCTTCTTCTTCCACAAAGAGGTCAGAGTTCAGAGTCAACTGTGCATCGATCAGCACCTGAGCGATTTTAAGTGTTTGATGAGATGATTTGACTTAAATCAGATCATACAAGCTCAGTCATATTTTTTGCCTATTTAAGAGTTTGAAGATGCAAACATATACTTTTGTGTCCTTTAAGCTAACTTTCATGACAAATAATTTAAAAAATAAACAGAATAGAATAAAATGAATGGCTGTTACATAAGGTTTAAAGCCTTGGCTGCATGTATTCTGGATCGAGAGTGCATGTGATATTTACAATAAAAGACTACTTTCAAGGTACAAAGTACAAGTAAATTTATGTATCGTTTTACAACACAGGGTCGTATAACAAGATGAAGTTGTAGTTCCCTTTATGCCACTTACATAAACAGAGTATACATAACCTATATACACTAGATGGCTGGGTGGGTAAATAACAAGTCATAAAACAATTTTACATGGTGGGGTGCTGAGGGTGATTTTCGGAGTCTCACAGCCTGGGGGAAGAAGCTGCTCTATACTCTGTTGGTACAACAGTGAATACTTCTGCATCTCATGCCAGACAGCAGCAGGGTGAAAAGGCTGTGGCTGCCTGGGTACTTGGTCTGCGCATGCACCTCACTCAACTCTGATATCACTGATGCTCGGTAGATGGGTGCCAACGATCTTGAAGCGGATTTAATCACCCTCTGCAGAGCCCTTCTGGGTCGTGCACATATCATGCCAGTTTGTATTTTATTTTGGCGTTATTTTTACTTGTAAAACACTAGAAACACAGCATTACTGTACGTATTGTAAAGCTCGCTGATGATGCAAGAGCAACACATGGAAGACACATATTGGAGTTGTTTATTAGTAAAGTTTCCTTAGAGGCTGCACACGTAAAAAGGACAAGTGATGCAGGAAGTAGTCTGATAATAAAAATGTAAAAAAGCTAGGCCTTCCTGGAAGGTACGACAGCTGGAGCTTTGACAGAACACCTCACAGAAAAACATTTTCCAAAAAAGGTATGTGGTTGGACACGGCATCTTTTTTTATTTTTTTAGACTGGAGGGTTGGATTTGTTTCTTTACTCCTTTAGACTGTGAATGTTTTATGATTGTTTTTAAGAGCTTGTTTTGAATTAACCAGACAGTGATGCAAAGTAGCAAATGCTTTCTCTAGCAAGTAAATTTTCCCGTCTCCAGGGGACAGCTCCCCGACCTCAACATGTGTTTATACAAAGGCACATTCTCTTTATCTACACGTGACACCACCTAAATGCCAAACCCATTCCCTGCAAAAAAGTTGGTTAATTTATCTCCTATTTTGAGAATAAATGCGGATGCCAGTGTACAATGCAGAGAATTTAGACACTACAGGTCATATGTATACATTCAGCTAAGTCCCATTTAGTTAAAATCAGCTTAGACATCTGTAACAATTACCAATCAAGCACAGGGTAGCAACATTTTTTAGCAGGCATTTTGCCTAAAAAGCATGCAGTACATCCAAGTTGGTAAGAACTAAATTTGCTGGCATAAAATTGGAGTTATTAATAAAGCCATGTCACTTATGGATTATATACTGTAGCGTATTATCTGATTTGATATATTAATTCTTATGTAATAATCATGGTTCTTCATCAGGGAAGTCTTTACTTTGGAGGCCAACAACTGCAGCACTGTGCAAAAAAGATGATGGCTGGGAATTGCTTTCCACTCTGTGATCCACCTGAACCTGATTACCTGTATACACAGGGGCCATGGAAAAGTTGATGAGCTTGTTTGAACAATCTCTATACCAACAGCAGCACTGTGGCCCTGTGCCTGAGGAAGAGGTCACCATGATCTCTACAGCTCTCCGCTGGCTAGCTCTTGTGTTTTTTATCATTCTGATCATTGGCGGGAACGTGCTGGTATGTTTGGCTGTTTGGCTCAGCCGTCGACTGTGGCGCATCTCTAACTCCTTCATAGTGTCGCTGGCAGTGACAGATCTCCTGCTAGGCCTGCTGGTGCTGCCCTTGTCTGCCACTGTGGAGCTGCGCAGCGGAAAATGGCCCCTCGGAGGAGCCCTGTGTAACATCTACATCTCACTGGATGTCTTGCTGTGTGAATCCTCCATCCTGACCCTGCTGGCCATCAGTGTGGACCGATACCTAGCCATTTCAGCTCCCCTTAGCTACTCTCGGAGAGTTACCCCTCTAAGCGTGACACTGGCCATGATCGCCATCTGGGCCTTGTCACTGGCTGTGTCCTTTGTGCCCATCCACCTGGGCTGGAACACAGCGGACTACAGCGTGCAGCACTTGGACTGGCGCATGGGGGATGAGGACAAGGAGGGACGTTATTGCCAGTTTGAATGGAATAACAACTATGTTCTTCTTTTTGCCTTTGGCGCATTTTACCTGCCTCTGCTGCTTATGTGTGAAATGTATCTGTGCATATTCAAAGTGGCACGAGAACAGGTCAGTGTTGATTATCATTCTGTAAAACATGCTGAGGTTGAATATAAAAGGTCGTGACTTAAGGCACACATTACTTTATGCTACTGTCTGAGGCTGACAATAAGATATCATTCAGAGAGACATCGTCAGTTGCAATGTAATGCTGAATTAAATCCATTATCAGTGAGTTAATTTCATTTTCTTTGTCCTCTGGCTATGTAACTTTCTCTTAACTGATCTTTTCAGGTGCGGCGTATTCGTGCTGCCACTCCATCATTTGCACGCACAGCATCAACTGCAGCCATAGCCCGAGAGCACAAAGCTACAGTGACCCTGGCAGCTGTACTGGGAGCGTTTGTCATCTGCTGGTTCCCCTACTTCACCTTCTTCACCTGCATAGGCATAAAGGAAAAGAAAAACCCCCCTAACACACTTCACTCTGTGGTCCTGTGGCTGGGCTATTTTAACTCAGCTCTTAACCCTATCCTGTATCCAGCCCTTAACAGGGATTTCCGCAGGGCCTATGGAGAGCTGCTTTGCTGCAGAGGACTGTCTCGCAGAAAACTGCAGCTTGCTCATGTGTCTGTGCATAAACGACTGAGCATTAGTAAGGGACAGAGGCTTTCCCTCCAGTCTGAAAAACATATAGGCGCAGTTAAGAAAGAAAGTGAGGGGAGGAGCCTCACCCTACACAAGAGGCACAGTATCCCTGATGAACCAAGATGAAATGCCAGGGATCTGTTCTTTCATTGCTGGACTGTAGAACGGCAGCAAAATGTTGAAAATTACAAACTTGTCCCACTACTCAGTAACTGATTAGCTAACCATTTTCAATATCAGTTAGATGTTTAGGGTACAGTATGGTGCCAAAGATGATACAATTTGTGTGAAACTCAAGCCACAACATCATGAATGTGCATAATTGTTTTGTTACTGTACTTCTTCATTACATCACATTTTTCAAATCGGTGAAAATCACAGTAGTGTACGTCTGTTTATAAATAAAAAGCAGGCAAATCAGAGCTCAGTGAAATGAATAGATGACTCAGTAAGTTTCCCAGCAAGCTGCATGGAGACACGGGTGGTTAAAAGTTTGCAAATTGTTAATTTTCTCTCCCCAATTCCATGCCAATGAAAGTGAATAAGTAACCAGCAAGTTGATTTGATATGTACAATATGTGTATGTTTGACTTGACCTAAGCAGGATGACTTTAATGACCTCATGGATGTTTCATACATGCAACACAGTCTAACCTTCCAAAATATGACGAGAAAGAATTTACAATGGCAATAACAAGTCTATGGGCCATACACTGCATAACATTAACTAAATACAGTTACAGTAAATCTGCATCTATGAAATTATCTTTATAACTTTGCGACTTTTATGTGCTGTATATGTTGCTGGGATTAGTTGAAGTTGAAGTATCTTGACCCTGCTTGTGTTCAGTGGTGCAAGATAAGGATGAGAAAAGATGATGAGGAAATTCAGTGTCTATATCTGTGTAAAAGTCTGCTTGACAAATTGTGAAAGATAACTTGGCAATGGGCAATTGGATTAGCCATGATACCATGTCGTCTTTTTTAATTAAGCAATTGCTTTGAAGTAATTTTATAGTTGTTATATTAAATAAATGATTTCTTCATTCAAAGGCAGAATAATAAATGTATTGTATGTATGTAGTAATTTCTTTCTAAACCCAGTAAATCATTTATGCTGATTAGACTCTTTAAACTCCACTTTGTATAGGCAATCAATATATGCTGTCCTGTACAATGAATTTTAGTAATGTGTTGGCTTTATTTCATCCTTTAAATGATTGAAGAAGACCATCAGTGGTAATGTGCAGATAGAAATGGTTTTCAAGCATTGTCAGTAACAAGACAAGGCAAGCTGAGTGGGATTGTAATTAAAGTTTAATGTGAGCCTTGGTGCCGTCGATGGTAGCTGACGTAGGTTGATGTCAGGGAAATGTTGAAGCGGGGGAAGCCTAACGAAATCCCTACTGGGATGAATTGATTACTTGCCTCAACTTTGTAGAGGAGGGGGTGCTGCAGAGGAGGAGACATCAGATCACACTCAGATTTATGAAAATAATGTCTGAAAGTGGAAGCAATCAAGCCAGCAGCTGCACAGTGACATATAAAATGGAAGTCATAAAAATTATTAACTGTAATTCAGGTCAGGTGGCAGAGAAGTAAAAAGTGAGAATGGAGGTGCAGGAACATTTATAGGTAGCATTAAATGCAACTGAGTCTTGTAATACTGTTCCCAGTCATTTGCTGTACATCTCCAGCACAGTAAAAGTCTCTAAGAGTTTGATGTAAAAGAGTTGCCTCTGAAAGTCACTGCTGCCTGCCAAGAAATAATAAGAGTATATACTAATTAAATTCTACTTGCTGTAACAAATGATGTGATGATCAAACAAGATATAACATGTTTATTACTAAAATTCAGAATTGCTGATATGGAAGCCAGTTTCTCCCTACTTACAGTGGTTATGCTAATCTTGGTTAATTGACTGATCCCAGGTCCTGCCCCTTTTCACTCTGAGGTCAATTAACAATTGAGCATGCTACATGGCGGAACCTGGTTACAAGATGTTAACGCTCAGCAAGAAAACCATTAAGCGTAATTCCCCAAAAAATATTTTTTATTTTACAATTAAGTCTACCCCATTTAGACCTGCGCTTTTTCTTTCTATGTTTTTATAGGCCACTGAAGACTGGTTCATGTACTTAAAATCTTTGCCAAATCATTATCATACTTGCATCACTTGCCAAATGTCAACATAGTATATATACAGGTGCTGGTCATATAATTAGAATATCATCAAAAAGTTGATTTATTTCAGTAATTCCATTCAACAAGTGAAACTTGTATGATGTATACATTCATTCCACACAGACTGATATATTTCAAATGTTTATTTCATTTAATTGTGAAGATCAAAACTGACAACTAATGAAAATCCCAAATTCAGTATCTCAGAAAATTAGAATATTACTTAAGACCAATACAAAAAAAGGATTTTTAGAAATGTTGGCCAACTGAAAAGTATGAACATGAAAAGTATGAGCATGTATAGCACTCAATACTTAGTTGGGGCTCCTTTTGCCTGAATTACTGCAGCAATGCGGCGTGGCATGAGTCGATCAGTCTGTGGCACTGCTCAGGTGTTATGAGAGCCCAGGTTGCTCTGATAGTGGCCTTCAGCTCTTCTGCATTGCTGGGTCTGGCGTATCGCATCTTCCTCTTCACAATAGCCCATAGATTTTCTATAGGGTTAAGGTCAGGCAATCTGGCCAATTAAGAACAGGGACACCATGGTCCTTAAACCAGGTACTGGTAGCTTTGGCACTGTGTGCAGGTGGCATGAAGTGCTCTGAAACTTTCTGGTAGACGGCTGCGTTGACCTTGGACCTCAGAAAACACAGTGGACCAACACCAGCAGATGACATGGCACCCCAAACCATCACTGACTGTGGAAACTTCCCACTGGACTTCAAGCAACGTGGATTCTGTGCCTCTCCTCTCTTCCTCCAGACTCTGGGACCTTGATTTCCAAAGGAAATGCAAAATTTACTTTCATCAGAGAACATAACTTTGGACCACGCAGCAGCAGTCCAGTCCTTTTTGTCTTTAGCCCAGGCGAGACGCTTCTGACGCTGTGTCTTGTTCAAGAGTGGCTTGACACAAGGAATGCGACAGCTGAAACCCATGTCTTGCATACGTCTGTGCGTGGTGGTTCTTTAAGCACTGACTCCAGCTGCAGTCCACTCTTTGTGAATCTCCCCAACATTTTTGAATGGATTTTGTTTCACAATCCTCTCCAGGGTGCGGTTATCCCTATTGCTTGTACACTTTTTTCAACCACATCTTTTCCTTCCCTTCGCCTCTCTATTAATGTGCTTGGACACAGAACTCTGTGAACAGCCAGCCTCTTTAGCAATGACCTTTTGTGTCTTGCCCTCCTTGTGCAAGGTGTCAATGGTCGTCTTTTGGACAGCTGTCAAGTCAGCAGTCTTCCCCATGATTGTGTAGCCTACAGAACTAGACTGAGAGACCATTTAAGGTGTTTTAATTAGCTGATTAGAGTGTGGCACCAGGTGTCTTCAATATTGAACCATTTCACAATATTCAAATTTTCTGAGGTACTGAATTTGGGGTTTTCATTAGTTGTCAGTTATAATCATCAAAATGAAAAGGAATGAACACTTGAAATATATCAGTCTACGTGGAATGAATGTATGCATTATACAAGTTACTTCTTGTCAAGTCACTTTTTGAATGGAATTACTGAAATAAATCAACTTTTTGATGATATTCTAATTATATGACCAGCACCTGTATATAATTGATTAATTTAAATACTTTAAATGCATATATTTACTGGTGTGTTCAGTCCTGGAAAATGTGAATGCGTTTCTTTTATTAGCAAGACACCTATTTGAATACAAAACGCTGGAAAGATCATATATTTCCAACATTTTTTTAATGATTAGTTAAAAATGAATAATGATCTGAAGCCAAATTTAGCCACCAAGATTTACACAAATTCATTATGCATCTATGTTCTTGCTCCACACAAGCGCTAACAACTACTGCCACTGCAGACCATGCAGCTTGATATTTCAACTATTCACCAAGAGATGGATTGTGTGAAATTGAGGATGTTTTTTGGAGCTGTCCTCTGTAAAATGAGTCAGAGACAGCTTCTGCTTTGTTCTTCTCATGTTTTTTGTTTGTATGCATTTGTGATGGTAAATTACACTGATTGTTCCTTTGTTTTAAAATATAATGATAGTTGAAAATGTCATTAATTGGTTGCCAAAAATAAAATTGTTAATCTTTGTCTTTAAGCTCTGAAATGTATCTACCTACATATTGTATATAAAAATGTGCTTTATAATTAATGCATATCATAGGTCATATATTATTACATAATGTATAATTAATGCAAAAGGAGGTTATTATGTATCTAAAGATAATATAATAATTAGGGACGTGATGCATTAGCTCTGGTTTAAAATGCATTTATACTGTAATCGCAAGTGCCTTTGATGAATAGTCTCTACCCATTTAAACCTTATCGAAGTTCTGTGCTTCTGTAAATGTTTGATGATAACTAATGTGCTGCAACACAATGTCTCCATGCAATGTGCGTCATCATGTGTTTTATGAAAATGTGTCACTGGCTTACAAGTGTTCTATTCCAATATTGTGCTTGTTTCATTATACTTTCATTGTTATCTCCGTTTACTCTTACATTATTATTTCCTACGTTCCTACGTATCGCGACAGCACAAAGATAAATAAAACCCCGCCTGCTCTACATAGAGCATTGTTTTTATCTCAGTGTCAATAGTTGTGTTGTTGTTTTTTGGTGTGTATCTGTGTGTGTTAGAACAATTATTTATTCTTGTTAATGGAGCACAGACAATTCAACCAGATAGACATAGGTACAGTGTTAGTATGGTTGGAGACTGCTTCATACGGTTGCCATGTCTGCATCATTTAAGGAACACAAAGAACTGCAGGGTTGAAACCATGATAAAATAAGGAAGGACAAATAGGGAGAGTTGCCAAAGAAACACTAATTATATTTATGGACAACCATAAATAAAATAGAAGAAGACCATCATTACAAATCTGTGATAATTTATGAATCTGGCAGACAAATGAAGGGTGAACTTTTAATGGCAAACATTGTTAAACTGTCTAATCAAGGAGGTAAAAGTTCCTGAGACAGAACACAACAGCTTAGCACAAAAACTGGAAACAGGAGGAAAAAGCAGCCTTGCTGTGTCCAATTCCCCTCTAAAGGACCTCTACAGCTTACTAATAAACACGTTATATCTTGTTTGTTACACATGGTAAGCACATGGTGAATTTATGGTCGGTGATATACTGGCTGTTCTTGGCTGAGCTCAGTAAGTTTTCTCAGTGAGTTAGTCAGCGAGCTTTGGAGATGCTGATCTCAATGGATTTTGATCAATGGAGCCAGGCAAGCTGTTTCCCCCTGTATCCATTCGCCTTGCTAAGTTAAGCTAACTGCTGGCAGTATTTTCCTATTTACCATACAAAGAGTGGTATCAATCTTCTTAACTCTCAGCAAGAAATCAAATAAGCGTATTTCACAAAATGTCAAACAATTTCCTAATATGAATACATTGCAGTGTAAAAAAATATGTGACAAAAAGCCCCAAAATATATATTTATATTTTAAAAAGAAATGCCCGGTAAATATTTCTTCCAGCAATAAACTTGTGTTAAC